GAAAAAGTCTTAGACAATACAATCTTAGTAAGATCTTAGAATAATCTTATTAAGATCTTAGTAAGATTTCGCTTACATTTGTCTAAGATCTTAGAAAAACCTTATCAAATCTTAGAATTTTCGAGTCTCATGATCTTAGTAAGATTTGTTTAAGATCTTAGACAAATGTAAGCGAAATCTTACAAAGATCTTAACAAGATTTTTCTAAGATCTTAGTAAGATTTGAGTAAGTTTTTCACTAGGGTTAACTGGAAGAAGGCAGAGAGCTTTGCAATGTTCCATGGTCTTATACAAGGGTCTGCTCGAGTCTGACAGATCAGATAGTTATCCCGATTCAAAGTCGATCACACATCGTTGTTTGTTCCAAAAAAACTAGTTTGAAAATTTCAAAGAAGGAAAACAGAAAAAACCTCACTTTTCTAAAAACTGCGGCATCTCCTGACAAATTTGGGAGCTTTGGAGTATTTTTAGTTTTCTCCCTTGAAAAGCTTTAAAACCAGCGATTTCTCAATCGGCTCGACGAACTCTCTCGAACCATGTAGAAATAAGCAAAACATTTTACTTGAACTGTGAATTTCTGGCATCTTACATTCTTCGATTTCTTACATTACCTGTGGCATATATAACATTTCCAAGTTTAAATACAATCATTTATTAATAATATCTCGATCTTTCAAATCTTGTCAAACTGTTAATAAAACAATTCGACTGCATGCTTAGAGATAAAGAAGCAAATACAACCTGCACATAATGCTTTCTTGCTCAAATGATTTGATAACGTTTTACATTCATCGGACAGCTCACAAGAAGCTTTTCTCAATCACGATGAACGGAAAGGAATGAGTTGTGACTCATTCTTTTCCTTTCATCGTGAGAAATACTTCTTGTGAGCTGTCCGATGAATGTAAAACATTATCAAATTATTTGAGGAAGAAATCATTTAAACGTAGTAGTCAAATTCAAGTTTGCAACCGAAGGCGGTCTATCGGTTAGATCACAAGCGTAGCATCGTCAAACATTTCATACTTTGATTCCACACTTCAGTATGTTGATGAAACAATACAACGTCCTTGAATTACGACTAACTCAATAAAACTAACGACTTATCGCTTGTATACGATGTAACGATCTATCTACTATTCCATCTGTATCAAAATTGTAGTCCTGCAAGGAAACGTTGTACATCTCATTTTGAAAAGCAAACGTTTTTCTTTCAAGTTGTAATCACATGAACTGAATAAATTGTAAGATACACGTCTTTAAAACAGATAGCACATCTTTCAAATTGATGCGGAAAGTCAAAAGGAAGCGTGAAGATAGAAAAAAAGAATATCGAGCAGAGAAAATTACGAAAACAATGTCACCAGTCTTGACTCATTGTATACACCTTTTGTTATTTTTTTTGACATTTTCCCTTTCAGTCAAATGAGTACGCATGCATCGATGAAAGTTATATGGAAATAGTTTATATTGAAGCTTTTGGTTTTATCGTCTTGAAAACGTAAAATGAAGATTTCTCAACTGTGTAAATGGAAAGTTCCACCATGATCAAGTGAGAAAGATATTGAAAAAAAAATATCATAAAAAATTTTGGCAATTCTTGGTATGATAAGATTATAATATTCACAAGAAATGTCCCAGAATTCTGTAAAACATCTTCTTTTGTCGAACAAAGTATCAACAGCATCAATTGATTGCCATCTTAAATTGAATCAGAGAAATTTTCAACATTTTAAGTCGGTAGGATAAAAAAATGAACTAATCTATTTCACAGTATGTGAATACGTGAAATATATTTTAAAAATTTTGATTCTTATCCGCCCTCCTCCTTTAGCTGTAAAGACTTGTTGGATATATGGAATATCGACAACCAGGCGTTTGTCAGGCTCAAAATGAACTATGATTTGGACAAAATCATATGTAAGCTTACTGTATGATCGCATTCGATCTTGTACGAACCTTACCAAACCACTGTAAAGGAATTAGTTCGACATCGTTCAATAAGATTCGTATAAAGTAGTATTATAAGAAAAAGAGCTACACAAGTCAGAGGATATTTGTAAAAGATGAGAACACCCACTAACACTCGAAAGAGCACGTCAAGTGCATTTACATGACTCTTTGATCATACTGCTACAGTTTTTGATCGAACAAAACGACTTTGTAGTCTCTGATAAAACTTTTAAAAGAGTTACTTGTTTTCTCATGGTGTACGGATAGTAAAAGAACTTTTCTCAGTTTCAAAGTCAAGATATATAGACATATTATGGATCATTAGGAAGATCATTAAATTGTCTACAACAGCACTGCTTTGTATTTTTACAAAAGTTATTTATTATACTTTTTATTCGATTTGACTATGTAAATTGCGTCCTTCTACAAATGGAACACATGTAACTCAATTAGTTACGAGACCAATTTTCATACCAATTTCTTATTACTTATTACTGTAGAATAGTGAATAATGTTTAAAGCGTTATTGAAAAAGAAAAGATACAGAAATTTAGCCTATGCCAAATCTAACTAAGTTAAACGCATTCAACTTTGACCCTTTCTCTCAGAAATCATAAAAAGACACTTGCTGAACTTGCTGAAATATTATTTTGCGCATATTCACCATCCAGTAAAAACAAAAACAAGATTTCAAAAAATGAAAAGTATGCTCTATAATTTTATATATTTCTAAAGACGATGATTGTTTAAGTCTACAACATACAAATTAAAATTCGAATCAAATGCTATACCTGAAGGACAATTTAGATGTGTACTATCTGTACCTTTGCCATTTCCAATGATTGTTATGACTTCATTTCTATTTAAGGAATAATGCATCTGTATACGATGATTTCTACAATCAACCACAAACATGTTACCATAAGAGTCGAATGTAATATCTAATGAATAATTTAACATTGTTAAATTTGAGCCTGCTGTAACATTGGTATTGCCTACCAAAAATGTTCCTGTTGATGAATTAAAAGGCCATTCAGCAGCTGTATTACCATTAGCATTTGTGACATACAATACAGAATTTGTTTCATCTACATAAATACCAAACGGGTTGTATACTTCCATATCACTATTATCAACACCAGTAGTGCCAGCAATAACAGCTCCATTTGCGGCTCCTAGCGGGAATTCCGTTACACGATTGTTCGAAAAGCAAGCAGAGGATCAACAGAATTGAACGTTCGTGAGGAAATACATTCATCACTTCTAGACGTGATGTATAAATTTCTATATATGTCTACTATTTTTAACAAGTGGTTTATACTACTTGTTAAAGTAATATACATACATCTTAGTCGTAGAAAGAAATGAAAAAATCCGCAGAAAATGTTCAGGTGTGCACATAAATCTGGATAAGGTTGAATTATGTAAAGCAGTTTAATAAAAATAATTTTTCAAGCTACAAAGATTTGCGCCATCGATCGATAAGGCGGTATGCTCTAGAATCTGGTAAACTCCAAAGTATATTTTGACAAAAGGTTTTGCACAATAGTTCTGATTTTCCTGAAAATTTGACCACTAGCGCTCCATGAGTCATGGCCATTGTCGTGTTCACAATCACTACTATTGACAGAATATGATATAATGCTAAGTCTCACACAGTGAAAAGTGAGCAGGGTATCAGAAGAAAAGTTCTCTCTTCTTCAATTCTCAACGTATTCCAGTTTAGTCAAACGTTTCTATCTTCTCTAACTCTTTCTCCTTACTTGTCTGACCAGCAGGAAGACAATCCCACTACTGTCCTGTTTGTCTAGAACTTTTGAATGAGAACAGAACACGGCAAGTTCTAATAGACTTCATATCCCTCTTGAGTATCCGAACTGGGAGAACAGTAAACACAAAGAAACAAATTCAGAAAGAAAGAAGGGAATGTAAAAACTCTAGCGTACATCCTTTTCTGTATAACTCATAAGTAAAATCAGTTGCATATATCGCACCACTAGAATCCACCCAAAGATCAAATACTTGTCCAACTGAACTTGCATCTGTTCCAGGTACGTTCTGACTAGTCAGTGAATCATACCACAAACGTAGTCCAAATGTATTTGAATCAGACGTATAAATGACTTGACTTTTATCAACATAAATACCTGTTATATAATTCAAATGTGTAGGAATGAGGTAAACCTCTTAGCGAATGCCTAAACGTATAATATGGCACGCTGGTGTAGCATTTCCTTCAATGAAAGTCTATCTCAAGTCTAAAAAATTATTTGTTTTTGCTTGATCATCAGAGTCTGTGACGCTTCTCTAGAAATGAATCACCAGATTTTGATGTGAATGCTAGAAAACAAAATAGTAGCCGGCAGAACGAAAAAGAAAACGAAGTAGTAGTCGTGGACCAGTATCAGTATCCATACCAAAATACCGATACCGAAAATACCAAAGTTCGATATATACCAATCCCGAAAATACCGACTTTTTCCGATTTGTACTTTTCTGAATTTTTTCATCTGAAATGAGATAGTTTAGCGTCATGGACAGCCAGAACACAAAAAAACACTCAGCTGTGTATTCTGAGCATGTGTAGATAGAAAATAAAGGAAAACTTTGATTTTAGAAAGCAAACAAAGCTCTCAAAGCTCATTCTCGAAAGAATCTCTTCCTATTAGAGCAGTAAAACCTGATCTAAATGGTACAATTCGGTCTGTATCATTTTTTAATTATGTTTTCGGTCGAAATGAAGGACAGATGTATGATCCTGGCGATGACACACGTTGAAAAGGAAAGAATGAACACAGAATGAATAAGTCAGGAAGTCAATAGAAGGTGAAAAGGAAATATCCTGATTTCCTCTTCTTGTCTTTTCTGTTCTGACCAGTATTAAAATCATAGTAAAGCTCCAGCAGTTAAAAAGAATGTGATTAATCCTCATTCATACTATTCTCATTGTCATTGTTCTTCTCTATCTATGACTCATTTTTACAAAACGATTTCATAGATTTTCTTTTGCTTGTAACGCAAAAATGAGTCGTAGACAGAGAAGAACAATGAGAATGAGAATAGTATGAATGAGGATCAATCTCATTCTTTTTAACTGCTAGGACTAGTAAGTTAAAGAACTAGTAAGTTATATCGAGTAGTTTCATCATCCTGTTTGTTCTAATTTTCATTCGAAACAGTCTATATTTTACTTTTGAAAATGACTCATTTGATAAATTTAAATTATTCAATAAATGACTGCTGCTGGGCAGAAATCTATTTTTAGATCAAAAAAATTCAATTGTTTAGTTTTATAGAAGATGCTTCAGATTTTCTAACGTTGTAATTCGGGTTTAAATCATCTTTTGTCTTCGATATTCAGTGAACTGTGTTTTTCATCCGTCAAAAATACAATGTGAAAATCGGATACCAAAAATTCCCTATATATCAGATGAAAACCGCATCGTTCTATCGCTTTTTGTTGTCGAGTGAATAAAAAAAAATATTCAATTTTGAAATGGATAATAGTTCAAGAATGTTCTGTGTGTCACTGGATCGTTTTCTAGATTGAAAATGCGAGAAAGATCAGAGAGGACAAAGATAAAAAAAGAAATATCGAAAGGAATAAGCGAGAAAAAAATCATCAACCTACAGAAAAAGCAAATAAACTGATAGAACTGTTCTTCTCTTTTTCTCTCGTTCTTTTTCTGTTTATCATGCCATTATATGGATATAAATAGGCTGTCGTTTTAGACCAAACTCTCATTCATAAATTGATCAAACAAAAGGAAAGAACGAATAAACTCTACATATAAGCGGTTAGTATAATAAGTTCTATTTACAATCGTGTGACCTTTGTATTATACGAACACGTGATTAAAGATTCATAATGTTGTTCTCAGAGTTTGTTATACGATTAAATAATCGTATCGTATGGAAAGTTTCGTAATCAAGATAAAGAATCTTTTTGATGATTTGTAATCAAGTATTGGAATCTATGGTCCCTTGTGTTAAAAAAAGAATTCGACACTCTTGTAGTAATTTAATATAACCCTTCTTGACACACCCTCACGGTCTTTTTACCCTTTTCTAACCACATATTACAAGATAAAGTAGATTCTCTTACGATTGTTTACGACTTTTTCTCCGACAGATATAGAATTTTTGACAATTTTCAAGTGTAAAACCAAAAACTTTATAATTTTTTTTATTCACATGCTTCTCATGCGAAGCAGAGCATTTTGTTGAAAAGAATACTTAATTCTTGTAATGCATGTTCGATGAATTATGTTCTAATGCTGTAAAAATGATTGTTTTTGTATAGTTCGTTAGTTGGTATAACCTAAACACTATAATCATCACTCGTTATAACTGTAAGCATGAAAAAGTTCGGTTTATTAGGAGAATGTCAACTGTGGCTACAAATCCATGTTTTATGAAATTACAGAAAAACTTGTTGAGTAAATATGCATAAAAATGCATCGATTTCATAGCCACCCTTATCAGGCATTCTGTTTCAGTCTGATAAAAAGACGCGAAAGTCAGTCCTACTATTCCTTGCATACAGAAGGAAAGAAAACGATAAAACTTTAAGATAGTCTGATTATTATTCTTTTTCTTCGCACGTCAAACCGGCGTTTTACTTTCTTTTACTTTATCTTCGTATCTAAATAAAAAAGAAAAAGAAACCATGCTCTCATTTTTATGTTTTAGTTTTTATTATAATCCATAAAACTAATAATCATGGATGCATTAAAAGCAGGTGCCCACAAAGTTCAAGAAGCTGCACATGGCCATAAAGCTGAACATGAAGCAAAAAAAGCCTGTGATCCAGATAAGAAACCATCTGATCGTATGGATGCCGCACACTGCGCTGCAAAGCATGAAGCAAAAGCTCAAGAGCATGCTTGCAGAGCTGATTGTAAAGTTGCCGAGCATAAACATTAATGATGAACGTTCATAGACATTGCACTCTATTTTTATGTGCTATCTAGCTTATCATATTACTGCTACATGCGTATATTATGGTTTTAGTTTATAGAATACTGTCGTTTGAATTTCATGTTTTATTTTGGGTTTTCAATTTGTATAAGTTTTTGACTCTAAGGATTATTTAATATATACCAAATATATGAGTATGATTATAGTATTTCATGATTATGGCATTTGAGTAAGCCACTAGTATGGATTACTGCCTAACAAGAGTCTCATTGCATTTTCAATGCCTTAAATGTGACTAAATGATCCGTGACTAATCGGCGACTAGGGGGCTTGCCCGTAGCTAGGGCATTGTGTGTTTTTTTTTATATATTAGTGATGTGTATACACTTACGCTAATTTTTTTAAAAAAAGTGGCGACTTAGAGATATTTTTTTTAAGACATTAAGAGGACTAACAGTAAAAACACATGTGCCACCACGTGTGTCACGTGGTCAATGATCAGTCATGATTTTTGGATTTTAGGACTATTTTTGAAATATCTTTTCTGCACGGGAGAACAAACATTTCTTGAAGCATGAATATAAGATTAGTTTGTGATGAAATAGTTTTTTTATGGTCAAAATCCTTGTTGTAATATTCAAAAATTCAGTTTATCCTCTGAACTTAAAAATCCCAAATTTGTCTTTTCATACCCCTATACGGTAATTAGTTGACTGCATGACGATGCAAAGATATTCAAAAAGTGTTTGTACTTCGGTGCAGAAAAGATATTTCAAAAATAGCCCTAAAATCCAAAACTGATGACTGATCATTGACCATGTGACGCAAGTGGCTGATACACGTGGCTGGCACACGACTAGTGTTATCAGTAGTTTGGGTATCAACCTAAGCAATAATACAAACGTGGCCTCTCTCTCACCTTCAAATCTGAGATATTTTAATTGTGAGACTGCTGTCTCATGCGCAAATCTGTTTTATCTCAGGACTAGTTTTGAAGACTTCATAGTTCAGAAAAATGCGTTCCTGAATCTGGATATGCGGTTCTTCAACAACCCTTGGTTTTCAGTTAGAATCTATTTTTCTCAACCCAGAAACACTTCAGTAAAAAATAAGCTGGTATTCGGGGTCAGTGCGTTAACGCTCTGGCCAGCCATCTCTGCTACCGGAGTGAAATTCCGTAACGATGTTTTTGCATTTTGTTTTTATTATAATGTTTTAGTAACCAGCCGCCGAGGGGTCTAGAATTTCCC